AAGAAAGAAAGAAAGAAAGAAAGAAAGAAAGAAAGAAAGAAAGAAAGAAAAGAGATAGACAAAGAAAGATGGGATGGAAGGGAAAAAAGAAAGAGGGAGGGAGGAGAAAGTAAATGTGATATAAGGATGAATGGATGGATAGCTAGATGGAAGGGAGGGAGGGAGAGAGAGAAAAAGGAGAGAAGGACACAAACCCTGGCTTCAGAAGACTCTTTGAAACAGCACAGCAATCTAGGGCTGGAAGGGATCTCGGAGGTCATCTTCTAGTCCAAGGGTCTTCAAACTTGGAAAGTTTAAGACTTGTGGACTTCAACTCCAAGAATTCCTGAGCTACCATGACTGGAGGAGGAATTCTGGAAGTCGACAAGTCTTAAAGCTGTCAAGTTTGAAGACCCCTGTTCTAGTCCAACCCCCTGCTTCAGCAGGAGATCCTTACAGAATCATAGAATAGCAGAAGGAACCTTGGAGGCCATTTAGTCCAACACCCTGCTCCAGCAGGAGACCTTATATCATCTGGAATCTAGATTATTTTGGTGCCTCAACAGAGAAGAAAATTGGCAGAGGAGTTTACTAGGACGAGGCTGCCATGCAGAAGAAGGCAGAGATAGTCCTTCATTTATGACCACAATTGAGCCCAAAATTTTGGTTGCTAAGCAAGTGCGTTGGTAAGTGAGTTTCACCACATTTTACTCAATCCATTGTATCTCCTGGGTCTAACGGTCATGTGCAGGCTAGGGAAGTAAATCTGAAGGTGTATGCAATGTTCTAATGTACAGAAGTTATAGTTAAATGTGTGGCAGAAAATGGTGTGTTTTTCCAAACACAGTGAGATTGAATTTGTATAGTTTTAGAAGAGCTGTGTGTGTGTATGTACAAACACATACAGTATATATAGTAGATAATGTATCTTTTTGTGTGCCTATACACACACTATACTATGTAATGTGTACGTACACATATGGTATATATACATAGGGTTAAATAGTGTATTTTGGATGTTCAGTAGTAGTAAATAAATAGAGAGGGAAATTGTATTGCTTTGAGGCCAGGCAAGGCACCCGTTGACCTGAGTGATGTCAAGTTAGCCATGCCCCCCCAGTCACATGACCACCAAGCATGCCCACCCAGTCACATGACCAAGTCACACCCACCCAATCACATGACCACTAAGCCATGCCCACTAAATAAGCCATGCCCACAGAACTGGTAGTAAAAAAAAAAAACCCACCACTGTTGTTGACTCTTTCTCTCTTCCCACTCAAACTACTTTCACACTTGGTGCCTGCACTCAGTCTCCTAATTGGCTGCACTAAAGCTTCTCCCAAACTTTCCTAAACTGCATCAAAACAGTTTACAATCTCTTAACATTTTTTTTTGGCTTTTCTCTACACAGCACTACAAGTTTTAATGGCAACCAATTTGACTTCCATCTTCACTTGTCCTTTAAGTCCACAGATCTCTAGGCATATGCAGCCACAATGGTTCTGCAAAAGACAATTTCCATTTTGGCTTTTTTTGCCATACTTCTGCTGCAGAGTTCACATAGTACAATTTTTAGACCCTGCTCATTGTCTCTCCAGCCTACACCCATTCTATCTAATGCCACTATCAATTAAGTTAGCTCAGTCTCAGTTTACCTCATTTATTTAATTCTCTCTCTCAAAATCCATTGCAAACACACCACTTAACTATCATTCTTTAATATACTACTTCTTAAAGAAAATTCCTTATCTTTAATCTCCAAAATATACCCATGTAATTACCTGATTAAAAAGACTTCCTTCCCTTCAGGATTAATATAGTTGCCAATTAGATTTTTGAGAATATCATTTTTTAAAGAAATGCAGAGAAATAATATATCTGCAAAGCTTTAGTTTATCAAGAAGGCCTTTAAATCCATGTTTTGTCATTTCTACTTTTTGGTCATGAGTCACAGTGGCGGAGTGGTTAGAGTTCAGTACTGCAAGTTACTTCTGTTGACTGCCAGCTGCCTGCAATTTGGCAGTTCAAATCTCACCAGGCTCAAGGTTGACTCAGCCTTCCATCCTTCAGAGATGGGTAAAATGAGGACTCAAATTGTTGGAGGCAATATGATGACTCTGTAAACTGCGTACAAATGGCTGTAAAAACTGTAAAGCAATATATAAGTCTAAGTGCTGTTGCTATTTATGTTTTCCCTCCCTTCCAAAAAAGTTTGCACTTGAGCATCCTCAGAAGTGAAGAAACCGCAAATAATTCATTTGAGTTTCTGTGTAATATTCTTATATTTTGTTTCTTATAATCTCACTATATGTGTATGTATATGTATATATATATATACTATATATGTGTGTGTCTGTGTCTGTGTATACATACACATACACACATACATATATATGTTTCTTATAGTCTCACTATCTGTTTTCCCCTAGAATATATTAAAGTAGTTTTAGCTGCTGCTCTTAAACAAGGTAATTCTCATTTATCATCCACTCATTCAGAGACTGTTCAAAAAGTTGCAATGGGGCTAAGTGAGGGATGTTTATGACAGCTTATTGTAACTGAGGCCAGATAGTGTCCACATAGTATTGTGATTACAATCTGGCTGCTTGGTAAGTGGCTTGACACATTCCATGGTCACATGATCATTTGCAACCTCCATGGTCAAATTCTGACAAGCAAAGTAAATGGAGAAGCCAGGAGGTTACAGACTCACTTTATGATAGCAACTGCCAAAACTGCCATCATAAGTTGATGTAATCACATGATGCTAATGCCTTACAACTTAGAGTCAGACTTCCTAGTCCCAATTACCACCAGTAATCAAGGACCACTTGAATTATTTGCCATATCAAAATCAACTTTTTAATATTCTTTATTACTAACTTGCATTTCTTTTGGTCAAGTTTATATTCTTGTTTTTAGTTCTAGTTTTTAAAGAAAATATTCTTTTCTTTGACAACTTTTCTTACTCTGTTCATTAATCATATTACATTGACTTGGATTTGGTTTTTGAAATATATTTTCTAAATAAATTTCTATTGTTATGGTTGGAATAATTTTCAGCCATTATAAAAAGACTTTGTCTTATCATTGCTTGTTATTTCAAGGAAGTCTATTTTCTATGTTTAATTTTGTTTTGCTACGTCTTACCTTGTACCTAAATCCAATCTAATAACATCTTAAAAATGGGCTTTTTGGTCAAAACAAATAAAAATAGTAGCACAAGTGGCTGCAGAGCGAATTACAGTTAGCAGCTTTGCTTAAAAAAAAAAAAGATAAATGGCATCCTGCAGAAGGAAAAAAATGCAAAAAGCTAAATATGAACAATGTTCTATCTTTAACTGGTTCTAAATTTGCCAGCTCAATTAATCCTGGCTAATGAAAATGGGTAAATAATTCTGGCTCCTATTTCATATTATGATAGATAAGTTCGTTTTGATATTTAGACATTTATTTAGAACCAATATTTGAAATATTCACGCATGATTTTGGAGGATTACATATATGTAAATTCCTCCAAAGGCATTACAATTATATTCTATAAAAAGATCACTGAAAATAGTTAGAAGGCAATTGGTCCAAGTCCAAGCCTGTAAGAATTTGAAGACCCTACTGAAACGTTTGTGGGCAGTGATAAGACGTTTAGCATTCAGAGGACAAAAATATAGGGCCTAACTGGTCTCTTCACAATTCCCAGAATTTTAAAAGCAGATGTTGGTTTAAGAATCAAAAAGAGTGAATATATTAAAAAGAAGAACATGTATACGCACAACTAATTCCACTACGCAAACACAAATGTCTTAAAGACATTTAAGTTTTAAACAAATATTTAGCTTCTAAGGTTTAAATTTAAAAGCATTTCAAGATTCGTCTTATATTTTACATGCCTGTCAATATATTGCATGTACATCCTATTTGGTGAGGTGTAGCAATGATATATTGATTTATAACTTAAGTCTCTAAAATAAAGATTCTAGAGGTGCATGGAAGATTTCAATTGTGAGAGGAAAAAATGGTAACAAGCTTGAATTAACACAAGAAAAAAATAGATATATTCTACACTTGTGAAATTAAGGAGGAAGAATGTACTGTATCTGAGAAGTTATAGCCTGATGGGATGGAGTAGATTTTAAAATTACATACAGGGAACAAAGATATGGATTTATAATGAATACAAAAACTAACATGCAGAACGTATATGATATCATTAGACTGCTGTGAATACATATAAAAATGAGAATTCAGTGGTTGATGAGAGCTGACTGTTCCATTTCATAAAATGGTAATAAATCAAATGAGCTTTTGGGGGCATTGAAATTGTATTTTTGGGAAAAATTGTGCAAAATTCTGTGTGATATGACCCAAGTTAAAAGATTATTCTGTTAGGTGATATAAATGGACTGAAAGAAGTTTAATGAATGTACAAAAACAGTGACCAGTCTTTCAGAGAACCATGAATGAATAAGATGACTGATGATCATCAGCTTACAAAACAGCCTGTTTTCAAATATCTACTTTAAGAATAAGTCTATTCATACATGGAAAAGCAATCAATGGAAAAAAAACATGCCTCTTGGTTATTTATGATAAAAGTCTGAGAGTATTTGTGAAAGATACAAG